GCCTAGTAGAACACCAGTAAAAGGTCAGGAGTGCAAATCTCAGCAGGAGAGATGCTAGCTGTGCTATCTGTACCTGCCGTGGTTTACAGGCAAGGTAAAAAGGCAGGGCAATCGAGAGAGGATGGAGTGTGCTCAGGATAGCAATAAGTCTCCATCTCCTCACTGTCTATAGATTATGGTTCCTGGTCCTGTGTCCCTGCCTTGACAGAACCAAGCCTCCTCCACAACACTTTTGTTATTGCATTATTTAAAGCATTTGGCTGTGTGACTACTAGGTTCTCATACAATGTTAGTCGAAGACAGCGCCAAGAATTATTTATCTGCCCACTATCATGAAAATTATACTGAATGGTTTTGTTCAACCTAAAGGCTAAGTCAAAACGTTTCATATTAAATGCAAAGAGTTACCTCCTCTCTTCAAGGAGGTCTTACATACTATGGAAGAAAATACTAGGCCTTCTCAGATACTATGTATGATGAAAATGTAACAAAAAATTAAATATTCTTGATATACTGGCCTTTATAGTACCTGAAACTGGAACATCTTAATAGAGGGGTTAAATAATGAGTTTCTCCTTTTAAAAACTTTACAGGAGCTTTCCTATCTCAACTGTCCAGGAATCTGTTTTGTCTTCAAAACACACGAAGCATCATTTTAAGATGCACAGAGGCCTTAAATGCCAAGCATGTTTTTCTTAAGATACATTTTCATTCCAGTGTGGCACTTACTGCTCAAACAACATGTGGGAGTTGGTTTCTGGAAAAAAAGCAAAGAGAAAGAAAAAAGAAAACTCAAAGCCTTCCTGTCCTCCACCAGGATCCCCTCTGGCAGTTGCGAGGAGAACACATTCATACTTCTGTGTCACCTTAGTACCATGATGCCACCCCAAGACAGGCTTGTACAGTATTCCAGGGGTGGAAAATCCCCATGGAAGGATATGTCACAGTAAGAGGCCCTCTGATTAAAATACTGTGACCCAAGAGTTTTATGTTATTTCAGATAACAGATACTGAACAACAAGGAGAGACAGCCAGGACCTTAACGAGCCAAGAACATGAAACAGCCAGCTGCCTGCTGCAGGATTATGTATGTCTGGAAAAATAGTAAGACAGGTTTATTTACTTGGGCTGCAGAAGTCCGTACCAGCAAGCTTAAAGCTTACGCATGTTTTCTGTAACAGGGTCAAGTTTCCTCTCCATTACTGAGTCAGCAACTGGAAAGAAGACCATGCATTCTTTCTACTGCCCTGAGGACACAAAGCCATTTCTCTGTCTTTCTGGACAATTATAAGCAGCAATCTATTTCAGATTTCCTCTCTAATTTGTGAGTTCCATCCTGAGAGAGCAGACCCTGAAATACCCTTCCTACTGGTAATGCTGGTACCAGGATGCCAGAAGAGCTCCAGCTGATCCTTCGTGCCCAGGTTCTGAAGCAGCGGCAACCCTGTGCTTAATGATCAGGAGATGAGGATTTTAGCTCTGTACTATCCATACTATCTCCTTCATAGCACGAGTCCAGTTTGCATGTTGAGTAAGTTGTAGCCCACATGGTTCTAACCTGAAGAACATCCCTAAAAATTAAAGAAACAATTTAAACAATAACAGGCTTAACTGAAAACAGGAGTCAGTCCTTTAAATGCATCTCTACCTGAGCATTAAGAACAGAGGGAATCATTGGACAGGAGGGAGAGGCTGCAGGTGGCTGACATTCCTGCATGGCTGTTTTGTCTGTTTATAGCTTTAGCTGTACAAATCTGTTGCTCTAAGTGACTGTCTTGCAGCACCCACATTCACACCCTCATCTGCACAGTGACTGGAAAGTAGAAAGCACAGGAAATGACCAGACGTTGCTGAAGCTGGCATATTGCTTAGACTATAGACTGATCAAGATGACCCAGCAAAAACTGCCTCAGCACATAATTGGCTCCAACACAAAACTGCTTTTGTGTATTTTGAAGTTACACTGAAGTCCCCTGAAGCAGCTGGAGATGTTTTGCTAGACACACTGGCAAGAGGAACGCCCCTAAACATTTGTAACAGGAATAGCATGGCCAGCAGGACCAGGGCAGGGATCATCCCCCTGTACTCAGCACTGGTGAGGCTGCATCTCGAATACTGTGTTCAGTTCTGGGCCCCTCGCTACAAGAAGGACATTGAGGTGCTGGAGCGTGTCCAGAAGGGCAACGAAAGTGGTGAAGGGTCTGGAGGGTAAGTCTTATGAGGAGGGGCTGAGGGAGTTGGGTTGTTTAGCCTGGAGAAAAGGAGGCTGACGGGAGACCTTATCGCCCTCTACAACCACCTGAAAGGAGGTTGTAGCGAGGTGGGGGTTGGCCCCTTCTCCCAGGCAACTAGTGACAGGACAAGACGGCATAGTCTAAAACTGCACCGGGGGAGGTTCAGGCTAGAAATGAGGAGGCATTTCTTCACAGAAGGGGTTGTTAGGCATTGGAATGGGTTGCCCATTTGGAGATGTTTAAGAAAAGACTGGACGTGGCACTTAGTGCCGTGGTCTAGTTGACATGGTGGTGTTAGGGCTAAGGTTGGACTTGGTGATCCCAGAGGTCTCTTCCAACCTTCTGTGATTCCCTAAAGCTGCACCTGAATGATGAATTCATGCCATCTGTAGCTGAGTGACTTATTACCGTGCAATAAGTAAGTCCAGGTAACAAGTAAGCCCACTGGCTAGCTAAGCAGGCTCTGGCCAACATGGCTTAAGTAGCTCTAAGCAGCAGATGCATACAAGTGGCAAAACCCTGCAACCACAGAGGGCCCCTCGTGTATGACGATAGAATGGTTTGGGTTGGAAGGGACCTTAAAAATCATCTAGTTCCAAGCCCCCTGCCATGGGCAGGGACACCTTCCACCAGACCAGGTTGCTCAAAGCCCCATCCAACCTGGCCTCAAACACTTCCAGAGATGGGGCATCCACAGCTTCTCTGGGCAACCTCTTCCAGTGCCTCAGCACCCTCACTGTGAAGAATTGCTTCCTAATACCTAATCTAAATCTTCCCTCTTCCAGTTTAAAGCCATTGCCCCTTGTCCCATCACTCCATGCCCTTGTAAAAAGCCCCTCCCCAGCTTTCCTGTAGGCCCCTTTAGGTACTGGAAGGCTGCTCTAAGGTCTCCCTGGAGCCTTCTCTTCTCCAGGCTGAACAACCCCAACTCTCTCAGCCTGCCTTCATAGGAGAGGTGCTCCAGCCCTTGGATCATCTTCGTGGCCTCCTCTGGACTCGCTCCAACAGGTCCATCTCCTTCTTGTGTTGGGGGCCCCAGAGCTGAAGGCAGTACTGCAGGGAGGGTCTCACCAGAGCAGAGCAGAGGGTCAGAATCCCCTCCCTCGATCTGCTGATCATGCTTCTTTTGATGCAGCCCAGGATATGGTTGGCTTTCTGGGCTGTGAGCACACATTTCCCGGTCATGCTGAGCTTCTCGTCAACCAACACCCCCAAGTCCTTCTCCTCTGGGCTGCTCTCGATCCATTCTCTCTGATGTTGACCTGGTGTGAAAGGTTCAGTCACTGGAGGACCATGGTGAGATGAAACCAGCAGAGATGTGAGTGAAGGCCAACACGACTACGGCCATAGACAGAAGATATATGTAGTGTATGATGGGACCAGCATGTCTCCTCTAGTGCCAGTCTCTAGCAGGAAGCTGTAAAAGAAGTACTGGATCCCCACGTCTTCAGCAGATGGGTAAGCACAGAGAGGTGATCTCGGTCTTACAGCAGCTGACAGAGGAACAGCCTCTGAAGAACACACACTCATGCAACTGAGAAAAGACAGTCACTGTGTCCCTAGGCCCACACCTGATAACAACACACACCAAGGACTCAAGAAGGCTGACCAGGTAAGTGAGTCTTCATGATGGCTATTGCATTCCCAGTTACTTGAAGCCTACATGCACAGTACAGACTTCAATACTTCCTAAGGTTCCTCAGCAAAGCTACAATGTACTTTGGTTCAGCTCTAACATATGACTGTGCTAACTTACTTCAGTGAACACTAAATGGTACTTCTTTTACCTTAATTAGTGATGATTTTTCTAGTCTTTGAGCCTGCTGTTAAGTAACAGTCCCACTGTGACAAATTAATGAAAATGAAACAGTGGAAGTAAAGACAAGAAAAGTCTAGTGTCAAAGACAACGGTTTCAATGACAGAAAAAAGTCAGTATAATGTAATACTGCCTCGGGTATTCTTATTCCTTTTTTACATTAGAGTGGTAGCTGCTGAAATTCAAACGCCTTTTAAAACAGGCTTTGATTGAATAATATAGGCGAAACTAAGCTGCAGTTGAAAACTTGCTCTACAAGCAGTTTCCCCTTCATTGATATTGTCCAAATACTGTTGAAAGTAAACTCTGAAATGTTTAGACTCAACTGTTCTAGTACTTTCTCTCTTCCCAGTGCATGGGACTCCTTTTATAGAAATAATCTCTCTTGTGTTTTGTATTTTTCTCTTTACGGTCGTACTGTTTCAGCTGTGCTATTTGGACTGATCCAAGGAGTTCTCAGCAGCTCCTGTCTTTGCCTTTTTTTGGCTGGGAGGCTACTGTGAGCATTCACTTAAAGGAACACATTTTCATTTATGAACAATCCACCAGAACTTATCTGTGGAATAATTTTCTTTAAGAAAAAGTTGGGAGGAGGGGAACAGTCTTTGTGAAGGTAGATGCAGAAATCTCAGCATCTTGGAATCCCTGTTTGGCCTGTTTCTATATACATGAAAAACTGGGAAATGGCTTATGGAAAAGCAACCCAAAGTAAACATTTCAGATGAAACAAGTGGTACATAATAGTTATTTGTAACAATGAGGCACTATCTTTGAAAGACAAAGTAGAACCCAGTACTATCAAGATGTGCACGTTCTTCAGAGGCTGTTCCTCTGTCAAAAGGCACACTCATAAGCAACCTTCTTCACTAGTTGTCTGCAGCCAGTTTCACTGAGCCATCTTGGTATCCACAGTAGGTGTGCTGCATCACTTCTAAGCACAGGTCTCTACTTAGCGTCCTCCTTCAGAGACTGACATGCCATCCACTCTCATCTCTCTCAGACTTCCAGTTTTCTTCTGTTTCTGCTTAGATTTTTTCAACATATGGACCTAAAATGGGAAGTTTTAAAAGAAAGTGAGTGAGTATTAAAGTATCTGTAGTCACCTATAAGCAGATCTAAGGCAACTAACTAATAAAGAAGTAAAATGTTGGAACTGCAACAGAAAAATATTTAAATACGCAACTATCTGAAGCACCTATCCTTCTAAAGCTATAAGATTAACTGTTTTTTTCACATATACATACACATGTATATATCTGTATATAGATGTATGACAATATGTATGTGTATGCATATATATTCATGTATACACATATACATACGCATACAGATATATATACAGATAATGCTATTAATCACTAAACTCATAGAAAGATAGAAATATTTCTCACTGGAAGGACACGTTAGGTTTGTTCTTTATCTCTCTCTTCCCCACCCCCTGCCCTTCTCTCAGGAAAAGAACAAAGTTTAACATATTCCAAAACAATTGAGGTATGACCCTCTTTTTCACCCATGTTTCCTCTGCAAGGGCGATTGTTCTGGTCACCCTCCTAGGGCTACATACTCTCTGAGATTGCCTGTAGCTATAAATTTCTGTGAGTTAAAAAGGTATCTTAAGGTAGCAGGCAAATGTGTAGATCAGTGTGCGCCAGAGCCAACTACTGCAAAATGTTTATTTCACAATTTCAATGTCAATAGAGAAGTTAAATTCTTAGGTAGCTGATGCTCTTTTCCTTCTACATATACATTGAGGTATCAAGGAAAACCAGACACTGATTACTCCAAAGTCTCTTTTTCTCAGACTCTCCTCTTCCATTATTCAGTTTTCTCCTTTGCTACTCTCTGACAGACCTTCTCTCCTCCAGCACCGCCAGCAGACTGCTTCCTACCTCACACACTGCAATACTACCATGGCCTTCATAACTGCGATCTGCTTCAGGGCAAGCAACACTACCTGGAGATCTCAATACAGGGGAAAAAGTTAAGTCACTAGGCTGAAGCTCAGAGACTACTTTTTTAAACACAAGCCTCATCTGTGCCAGTGGAGAGGGCCCTCAAACCATTCTCTGTAAAAACTGCTGTTTATTTCTCCAACAGATACTACACCATGCCAATTAGCTCCTTTAAAGTTAAGCATCAGCATGTAACAGACAAGCAAGATAATATGGCAATATCCACTGGAGAAACAAAGCCAACTTGCTAAGACAAACCTACAGCCAGTACCTTTGGTCCTGCAGCAGAAATAATAATCTGGCCAGGGGCCTGAATCCAGGGCTCTCCATCAACTTGAACTGGAATTGGCTTTAGGAGTGTTACACGAAAATAGGAGCCTTGGGCTATGCGGATTCCTGATCGAAAACCACCTTGGACTTGACCCTGTTAGGAAGTAAATGCCAGTATATCAATCACCCCAATAAACAGGAATCACAAATACTAGCTGTACTTAAGCCAGGTGGATAGAATTTTACTCTCACCTGACATTTTAATTTTCAAGTAAAAGAAATGTTCAGGCAAAATCTGCATAGGATGCCTTTACTGACGCAGCATTAATTATTTAAGTTAGTGCATGAGGAAGAACTCAGATATCTCTCCAGGCTGCCAGAGGCAAAATAACTTACACAGTGAAGTCATTTATATGCTCAGGTTGGCCAAGGAGCATTCACTCACAAAGGTCTTCTGTGCTTTTACTTCCCCCCTCCATAACTTAGTAAACACATTTTCAAAACACGTAGCTATACACACACACACTTTGGCACACGTGAAACTCAAAAGTCTAAAAGCACTTCAGTAAACAGGTGGAGAAAGAGTTTTGCCAAACTCAACTCCACACACATATATTATAAACATTCAACCATATATACATATACTCAACTACCGTAATAGCTGAGTGTTAACAGTAAGAAGTGAAGCAAAGTGAACTTTGCTGCTCCACATTCTCTTGGAGAATGTGTATAGACACCAAACATGGGGATAAAAACCTTAACAGAAGATCACAAAACCAGGGCATGGGTTTTTTAACATTTATATTCCAAAGCAACGGGTACAGTCCTTGTTGCTCCTAACTTTCATAAAAATTTTAAGGATCTCTACCAAACCACTTCTTCTAATGGAACGTTTTTATATGTGTCTTCCTTAAAAGATCTAAATTACAAAATGGTAAAGTTGGTCAATACCAAAGATCGAGCTGCACAAACAATTTTAAGCACCCAATTTTCCATTTTTGGTGGTTGTATGGATTAGTTGTCTCTAGTTACCTGACCACATATGCTTTTTCAGTAGCAGATTTCTTAAGATAGTGAAAGAAATATGAAGAAAAGACAAAAATAACCTGCCATCCCATAGGACTGCATTGCTAATAGGAGGCCATTTAAAAATATGTAATACACAGAAGAATTCAAGTTGCAGAAATTAAGTAGTAACATTCTTTGCAGAACTAGCATACCATCTGCTTCACATAGTGTCTGGATCAAGAGTAGCTAGCATCAGATTTTCAGAGACAGGTCTTGGAAAGCCTGTGGCACATAATTATAAAGCTACCTGTCTAGAAGGAATCTCTGCCCTGTGTGATGAGGTATGACAAGATTTTTCACAAATACACTGCCTAAGTGAAAAGTGCGTGCTTTTGTAACATTAAAATAAAATCTTGTTTTCATCTCATGAACTGTTTAGTTTTGACACCACGACACCTGTTATGAGAAAGCTAGTACATTCCGTAATACTTATATATATATATATAGATGTTTGCATTTCATACATATGTATACATGTATGTTTCTGGCCTTGGTTCAAAGTCTACTTAAATCATGAAGCATTTCCCCATGCACTTTTAACAAGTTCTTCACACTCCTATTAACTTCTCCTTATCAAACCACAGGTTTCTTCAGTTTCCATTACATCTGTTGTAGTCTGGCACCTAAATATGGACCTTCAGGGCAGGCCAGTAAGCAGGCAATGAGAGGGCACTGCAGTCTACGAACAGGCATACCAGCTGCAGCTAAACTCCCGACATCTGAACACTTTGTTCACAGAAAGCCGATGCTGCCCATGAATTCTGCTTATGGTCTATAACCATTTCTGTATGATGCAACAAGTACCTGAATAAACGATGGTATATCATAGATGCAGACTTTTTAGGACTACGCACTTGCAATGCACAGTTTGTTACAAAAATAAACCAGTCTGAGAAAATGAATGTTTTTTCAGTTCTTACTGAGACGCCAGCTTACCATGTGAACAACGCCAGTAACACCAACAACTTCCAGCAGGCCATCATCGATGCGTGGTTTCTCAAAGCGGTTATCACTCTCAGATCCCCAGAGATCGGCTCCAGACCCCCAGCTGCATAGAGAGCACACCACAGTGACCACCTGTGGACTTCTGTCTGCCACAAAGCACCCTGCCTGGCAGCCTGCCACAGATGGCTAGTTTGCAGATTCCAAAAGCTAGACACTCTGATCCCCACGAGCCGGAGGAGACAACACAGCTTCCTTGCACTGTAAAAGCAGGAATTGTTTTCCTAAAATTTGGAAGACTTCTGACCAGATATTTAGGAGTGAAAGAAGGAGTGAAGTAAGTAGTTTCCATTTGAAAGAAAAAGAGTAGGAAAGAAGAAAGTAACTCCAAAGAGTTTTAGTTTGCTGGGAAGTACAGGTTACAGCTACACTAACACTTAACTTCCAAGACTTAAGAACTTTACATAGATCTTACTGGTCTTGACAATATTCATGGAAGCTACTGAAGAGAATCTACAGCTAAAACAAGTATCAAGTTTTTATTCTTGTACCTGGCCAAACTCACTTGTAGTTAAGCAAGTATTCCTGCACTTTAATCCGCTGACATGCTTCTGACAATTTAACACCATGTTGGTTTTTGTGCAGTATTGACCCTCCTTACTCAAATCACTCGCTTACTGTTTTAGTGCATTGACTGCTCAGTACTAATTGTAATCTTTTCTTCGCCACAGTTCACATGTGCAATGTATACTTGTGCATATGTGCACGTGCACATATGTGTGTGTACCTGTAAATATATGCATTTGAACAAAAAGTTGAAACATTTTCGGACTAAAATGGAAAGAGTTACAGGTAGTTTAAGATAAGAGTGTAACTTGAAAAAAAAATAGTAATAGTATAGCAGCACTAATCACCTGCTGATTTTGTGCAAACAAGAAACTTGCCTCTACCAACAGCAGATCTAAGGAAGCCAGGTTTCCTGCAGATTTGCCTTCCTTTTTTCACAGCAGTAACTCTAGCTCCCTGCAGGTGTCAGGGCAGCCCCCACAACTCCGTGAAAGGTACCCAAACTGTGGGTTTTCCACAGCTAGCCAGGTAGCATCACTGACTCCACATATACTGACCAGCTGGTTGTATGACTTGGATAGTGTTTGACAGTTGAATCCTGGCTGGCCTTCACTGCAGAAACTGCTTAGGCACTTGGTCTCTAGCATGCCAGAAAGTATGTGCAAGTTGATCATCTTTGATCCTCCTACAAGTCACGGTGAAATCCGGTGGACCATTCAAATAGTTTGGAGGAGGGGGAAAATGGTAGTGGACAGAAGACACAGGCCTTCAACCATGCCTAAAAAGTCATGTTTTACTAGAAAACTGCTCCAAAGGAAGTCTGAAGACCTTTGGTGAGGAAATCATTCCAAATTACAGGACACAGAAGAAATAGCAAATGTACAAGGGTTTGCACTGGGAAAACAAGATAGTACCACCTTTATGTAGAGTGAGATTGTGAGTTTCAATGGATCAGAAAAACGATGTCAAAATGGTATTAAGAGCTAGCTCCCCTTAAGCACAGTTGCAAAGCCAGCAAGTCAGGCAGTAATCAAAAATACCCAGTAACAACCATCTATTAATCTGGACCATTTAACATTTTATCCAACCATTTGACATTTGAAGCTCAAATACCAAGCAGCATTTCCACACATACAGCCAGACATGTATCCGCACAGGATTCTTCCTCTCCTTTTTACCTGGGTATATTAATAAAAATGAGTCCTTCTATACTTGGTAACTCCACCTCGTGTTGGTCCACTTGAAGCTTTATGTCTTTGTGAAGATTTCGGGTATGACTTATCTTCTGCAGCCCAACTTTCACATAAACGCCTTTGTTGTGAAACCTAGGAGCAGACAAGCATCCTGTAACTAAAAGGTAAGGCCCAGCATAGCACTCTTCCTTGTATATATACCAGTATTGCCCTCTAGCAGGTATGTTTATAGTTTTTCGGTTAAAACTCTCTCCAGATTCTTCTAGCTTTACTGCAGAAACAAAGCATAAGCCACAAACTGCTACTTTATATACCTTTTACTTAAGGGATGATTTGTGCTGTCGAGCCATGTGGACATCTGTGAAATTTTATTACAGAAAAATCATCCCTTCTTAAGGAGTCACCTGAATGCAATGCCTCTTTGAAATGTAAACTTCTGGGCTGGAAAGTTGTATTTTTAATTAAGACCTAGCAGTCTTCATGAAACATTTTAAAATGTTTTCGCATGCAATGCTAGAATGATTAAGGCACAAAAACCTTTGCAAGTCTTTGCTTTACATATTGCTAGTTCAATGCTGTAGAAACATTGAATGCTGTAGAAACTTAAAACACACTTAGTAATGTTAACCTGTGACAGAGCTCTAACATCTCTAATTTTAGAGTAAAAAAAGATTAGGAAGATTATATGGCATCCCTAGAAATGTCAAAATATTTTAAGAATAACATAAACAAATGTTAGTTAAACACACACAGTATTTTCTCCTACAATGGAAACCTTTGGATACATGGCCTTCAGGGCAACCTTAAAATAGAAAGCGTAAATTTCCATTATTTGGCCCTATTAGCACATGGATGTCATTGGAATCCCAACTCTGCAAAATCTCTCCAGAATTATGTCTAAATGCTGTAGACATTCAAGTGGGGAAGACAGCCAGTTTAACATGCGGGCAACTCTTCAGACAAAGCCTGTTCAGTTATTTTAAATTATTACATTGGGAGTGATTAGTCCTACCCGCTAACAGTTTTAAACAGCACCGAATTAAAGGTACCTGATGTAACACCATTTAACATATGCTTAACATATGTTTCTGCTCAAGACAAGACAGTAAGATGTGTCTATACTAAGATAGGTTTTGTCCAATTTGGATACAACTGAAAAATAACAGGGTATCAACAGGAAACATAATACTTCAAGTATCTTCAAGAAGCATTCATTTTTGTTGCATGAAGAAGGAAGCCTGCAGAAACTGAAAGAATATGGCACAGTGCCGTAACTGCAGACACAGTCCTGAATTACATGACTTCTAAGAAACACTTATGAACCACTGAAGTCCACAGCATCCAGAGACACTGGATACAGCACGTCATGACGCACAACAAAGGGTAAATCCGCCAGAGATTAAATCCTATCACTCCACTCTTGCATACATATTCCATTCCATTTATGTATCTTATTAGGATATTGAGACCAAATAAGAACAAACAAACTGATTTCTGTAACTTTACCACACCAATTCCTACCCAATGGTTTGAAGGTGACTGAAAGATTTTATGACTAAAATGACCAGCCAGTCTTGGAAAGGTGATCTTTGCACATCCACGGCTAGAGAGAATCACCACCCTTCTCTGCACATCTACATGTGGGACAGTGGAAGTTGTCAGTCTACTGCTAGCAGTAGCAAATAACATACTAGCTTGCCCACTTGGGTGGAAAGAATAAGCATCTCCTAAAGCAAACCCTTGGTTAGACACATTTTGCAGACCATAGTTTCACCAGAGTTAATTAGCAACGCAGGAAGGAGGAAGTTGTCCTTGGACCAGTCTCTAACACCTTATTTGTCCTGAAGGAAATCAAGGTTTGTATGAGGTGAGACCCACATTGCAGTCACTGCTGTAAAGGATACTGATGGGGATGAGAGAGGAGGGCTGGACCTTACATGCAGCTCATCCATCCCCATGGAGCCACTGAATCTTTGCATCAGCTTGGCTGCAACAGTTGCATCATTATGTCATCCCGGAACTATCTGGAAGGTTCTCTAGAGTACAGATATGGAAGTAACATCCAACTGCTCAGATGAGTCTGGGAATTTGACCTACACAGCTCAGGAATCACCCTTTGGTTTGTTTTTCTACAAAAGATGCACTACAAGTACAGCCAACATTCACATACTACCCGATGCCCCACTGGCTACACCCATAAAGCTACATACACCCTTCCTGAGGGACATTCAGGAGGTTGCACTAATTCTTCAGTTTAGCTAAGTCTCTCAGTGTCATGGTTTAACACCAGCCAGCAACTAAGTACTATGCAGCTGCTCACTTACACTGCCCACCACTCACCCAGTAGGATGGGGAGAAGAATCAGAAAAAGGTAATTAAAGGTAATTAATAACTGAAATAAAGTAAAATATTCTAATAATAATAACAACAATAATAATAATAGTAGTAGTAGTAATGAAAAGGGAGGTAACAAAGAGAGAGAGAGGAGTAAAACCCAGGAAAAGACAAGTGATGCACAGTGCAATTGCTCACCATCCACTGACCGATGCCCAGCCTGCCCTGAGCAGTGATCGGCCCTTTCCAGCCAGCTCCCAGCGACCCCCCCCAAGTTTCTATACTGGGCATGACGTTCTAGGGTATGGAATATCCCTCTGGCTAACTCGGGTCAGCAGTCCTGGCTGTGCTCCCTCCCAGCTCCTTGTGCATCTCCTCGCTGGCAGAGCACGGGAAACTGAAAAGTCCTTGACTTAGGGTACGTACGACTCAGCAACAACTAAAACATCCATGTGTTGTCAACATTATTCTCACACTAAATCCAAAACCACAGCACTGTACCAGCTACTAGGAATGGTATAGCTACTATACCATTTATATCATGCCCAGGTTCCACACTTTCCAATATATCATCACCCTTCCTGTCATTTAATATATATACACACTGATATAATTCCTTTAGTTTATGGGCCATCCCTCTAAAACGTCCGTTGAGTTCATTTAGTCTACAACTTTGGGCTCCATCTGTCGTAACAGTCTTTCAGGACAGGAAAAAATGGTGTGTGGTGGTGTATTGTTGCATGCTGAAGCCAGTTCTGGTTCCATCACTGCTGCAACTGTCCAGTTTCATCAAAGTTCATTCTTCATTAATCTGGGTGATTTTTACTGTAATACCCTTGATATGGCATATAGCCACCATAGTAGTGATGATATACAGTGTTATATAGCAATTAACATCCTACAATTCAAATCATTGGCTATTCTCACCCAGAATCAAATCCCCTTGAGGTACACATCAGACTTCCCCATCCTCCCACATTACCCAGCAAGTGCACCCAGCTTTTGAGAAAAAGCAATCCCACAGATGGGTCTGCCTTTGCCTGAGGCAGGTATCACCCAGGTTGTTTTCCCTAGCATATTTTTAGGTGCACCACAGGGACTTTATCCTCTTCTATAGTATGTAAAATTTTTGATTGTGCAGGGCCAGCCCAACTGGCAGATGCCATACTGTTGACTAACCAGGTGGCTTTTGCTAAATGTGTATCCCAATGTTTGAATGTCCTAGCAGCCATTGTTCTCAATGTAGTCTTTAACAGTCCATTGTATCATTAGATTTTTCCCAGAGGCTCGTGCATGATGGAGGATGTAATATACCCACTAAGTACCATGTTCTTTGGCCCAGGTGTCTATGAGGTTGTTTCATAAATGAGTCCCGTTGTCTGACTCAATTCTTTCAGGGGTCCCACGCAGCCACAAGACTTGCTTTTCAAGGCCCAGGATAGTGTTCCAGGCAGCGGCATGAGGCACAGGATATGTTTCCAGCCAACTGGTGGTGGCTTCCACCGTTGTGAGCACATAGTGTTTGCCTTGGCAGGTTTGTGAGAGCATGACATAGCCAATTTGCCAAGCCTCCCCACATTTGTATTTCAGCCATTGTCCTCCATGCCAGAGAGGCACTAACTGCTTGGTTTGCTTGATTGCAGTGCATGTCTGACATTCATGGATAACCTGTGCGATAGTGTTCATAGTCAAATCTACCCCGTGATCACAAGCCCATCTATACGTTGTATCTCTTCCTTGACGGCCTGAGGTATCATGGGCCCATCACGCTATAAACAGTTCACCCTTATGCTGCCAGTCCAGATCCACCTCAGCCACTTCAGTCTTAGCAGCCTGATCCAACTGTTGGTTGTTTTGATGTTCTTCAGTGGCCCGACTCTTGAGTACATGAATATCGACGTGATGTACCTTCACAATGAGGTTCTCCACTCCAGCAGCAGTATCTTGCCATAATTCAACAGCCCAGATGCACTTGCCTCTGTAATGCCAGTTACTCTGCTTCCACTGCTTTAATCACCCCCACAGGGCATTTGCCACCATCCATGAGTCAGTACCGAGATAAAGTATTGGCCATTTTTCTTGTTCAGCAATGTCTAAAGCCAGCTGGATGGCTTTTACCTCTGCAAACTGACTCGATTCACCTTCTCATTCAGCAGTTTCTGCAACTTGTTGTAGGTGACTCCATACAGCCGCCTTCCATCTCTGATGCTTTCCTACAATATGACAGGACCCATCAGTGAATAAGGCATATTGCTTCTCATGTTCCAGTAATTTATTATACAAGGGGGCCTCTTCAACATGTCATTGCTCTAGGCCTCACCTGAAATAATTCTTTTTTTCAGGTCACTTGATAGAGAGGGCTTACAATCAGACTGTAATTTGGAATGTGCATTCTCCAAAAACCCACAATGCCTAAGAAAGCTTGTGTCTCCTTTTTGCTAGTTGGTGGAGACATAGCTGCTATTTTGTTGATCACATCCATGAGGATGTGATGACGTCCACCTTTCCATTTTATTGCTGAAAACTGGATATGCTATGCAGGTCCATTGATTTTACTTTGTTTTATGGTAAAACTGGCTTTCAGAAGAATTCAGACTATTTTCTTCCCTTTCTCAAAAACTTCTTCTGCTGTATTGCCCCACGTGATGATATCATCAATGTGTTGAAGGTGTTCCAGAGCTTCACCCTTTTCCGGTGCAGTCTGAATCAGTTCATGGCGAATGGTAGGGCTGTGATTCTACACCTGGGGCAGTCAGTTCCAGGTGTACTGGACACCCCTCCAAGGGAAAGCAAACTGT